CAGACACAGGCAACGATAAATACCTGGTCTTCACGAGATATCGACATATATTAGGCACGTAATTCATTCCCATAAAGAAACGTCTCTGGGGTTATCATTCAGGTTAAAAATAAATCTCTCCGTCATTCAAGCGTTCGCTGACCGCGAGGAAGCGAGGAAGGATATATAAATAGTATATATATATTATATATATATATATATATATATATATTATATATTCCTTCCTCGCTTCCTCGCCGGTCAGCGACGCTTGAATGACGAGAAGATTTATTTTTAATTGAATGATAACCCCCCAGAGACGGTTCTTTATGGGAATGATTACGTGCCTAATTATGTCGATATCTCGTGAAGACCAGGGTATTGTAATCGTTGCTCTGTCGTGATTTCACACAATGATGCGCGCAAGCGACAATGTGAAGATCTGAAATGTGATGCGAAAATTGTGATTGATGTCAGGTCCACAGGATATAGGCGGGCCGATGGGTTAAAGTAATTTCTAAATTCCATTCTATGGTCGCTGCGTTCTGTGTATAAGGAGGAGCACTACTGAAACAAATGCTACTGTTGTCGGAATAGAAAAATCGACACTTATTGCGTGTAATGATCTATGCGCGTTTATAGATGGCAAAGATAAGTAACTGGTTTCGTTTTGCGTCATATGCTAAGATAAATTATCCTGTTTTTTCAGATCACAATGATGCTACACTACGTGAGCTCCTGTATTCTACTGTGCTGGCTCGCTTCCCAAGCCGCAGGTAAATTTCAGTATATATATATATATATATATATATATATATATATATTACAGTTATATTATATATATCGTCGATTTTCTAGCAACAATACAACAATGCAACTCGTGTATAAAACGGGATGTAATAAGCACCTGTCCTGTTTTATATGTGTGCGTGCATCCGTGCGTACATACGAATGTATGCTCTAGTCTATGTTTGTGCATTTGAGCGAGTGTGTTGGTGCATGTTTATGCATGCTAGCTTGTGTGTTGGTGCATGTTCGTGCGTGCGAGCGTGTGTGCTGCTGTGCGTGCATGCGTGCGAACGTATGTGGCGATTTGCGTGCGTACATTTGTATTAAACATTGTTAGTAGTAGTATATAGAAGCGCGAGTTACGAGTCGTGCTACATGAAGCAACTAACCAAAAACTAAGTACATGTAAATAATACAAAGAAATATCTTGAAACTGTTCGCGTGCGTTCGTACGCACTGTTATTCTTTGGTCCGTTTGTTCACTTGTTCTATGTCAGTTGGTTGATTTGTACGTTCGTTCGTTCGTCCGTCCGTTTGTTCGTTAGTTAGTTAGTTCGTTCGTTCATTTTTTCGTTCGTTCGTTCGTTCGTTCGTTCGGTCGTTCGTTCGTTTGTTCGTCCGTCCGTTTGTTCGTTAGTTCGTTCGTTCGTTCTTTCGTTCGTTCGTTCGTTTGTTCGGTCGTTCGTTCGTTTGTTCGTCCGTCCGTTTGTTCGTTAGTTCGTTCGTTCGTTCGTTCGTTCGTTCGTTTTTCGTTCTGTCGTTTGTTCGTTTGTCCATGAATTCGCCCGATCGTTCGTGTTCGTCCGTCCGTTTGTTCGTTAGTTCGTTCGTTCGTTCGTTCGTTCGTTCGTTTTTCGTTCTGTCGTTTGTTCGTTTGTCCATGAATTCGCCCGATCGTTCGTGTTCGTCCGTCCGTTTGTTCGTTAGTTCGTTCGTTCGTTCGTTCGTTCGTTCGTTT